TCTGGGCACTCCTTGGCACGCAGCTCGGAGTGTATGCCAGAGAGAGGGGTTCGGAGTCCAACGGTCGTCTCCGCTTCGTCATGGTTGCTATTGACCCAAAGCTAGTGCAGCAAACGACTTTCGAAGAAAAGTTAGTGCCACACAAGCAATCCAACCTTCTGCTCTCCAGCGTCCTCCATGAGATTCTAGTTCTTCAGCAGACACCTTCAGCAACCACGGCCTCCACGCAGTCTGCTGCACACCATTCGCTCGAGCCTCAGGAAGTCCTTGCCTCCGCACTCCCTGGGCCAGCTCGTGCCTCTCAAGAGCCCCAAGCAGTCCAGGCAGCATCCGCCTGAGAATTCCCAAGGCCAAGCGAGCCAAAACCAAGCCATCTCCAGACCAATCTTCTTCTCGGCGTGAGCCCGTACCCATGACAGTGCCCAGCATGATATGGTCTCCATCAGCCACTCTCGTGCTCGCCGGTGTGTCCGATGGATCCGGACTTGCGTGCAAGAACAAGGACAACTGTGAAGGCAGTTCTGTTGTCACGAAGCATGCTGGCAAGGCCTACGGTGCCATCGCCACAGCCAATGTAGCCGCCAGAAATGGCTTGCTACGACTTGCCCTGGGTCCCAACGTCTCCTGTGGATTCACATGTCCGGCTTTTGGATGCCCTAGCCGCCATTCAGCGCATGGAGCTCTGCTCTGTCAACCAGTTTCTCGCAGAGAAGCACATCTTGCAGCATCGTGCCAAATTCGACAAGCAGCATGTCGACCAGAAGGCTTCAGAAGACACCGAACTCGTCCCTGACTTGTCGCCCATTGAGTTTGCCACCCGCCGCTTGCTGGATGGCCTTGCTGCCCATGTGCCGCACAACTCTTCGACCTTGCCGAGAATGCCGGCATCCCGTACAAGATCAATCAGAAGACTGTGTGGTACAGCTTCCGTCAGCTCCATGTCACCCGCTCCCGCAAGCGCCAGCAAGACCTCCTCCGCTACGGCGGCGTCGAAGTGCTCAACGCCCACGGCAGACTTGCATACTGCTTTCGGGCCTGCTCGCTTCTAGGCCTGATCTGCTTTTGGCTTTCGCTGCTTGACGTGCTTCATTTACTCTTGACTTTTGGACTTTTCGCGTTTTCAATGCTTTTCGCGACTTTTCGGGATTTTTCAACTTTTCGATTTTTCGACTTTTCGCGTTTTCGGTACTTTTCGCAACTTTTCGGGATTTTTGCGACTTTGCGACTTTTCGACGTGTCGACTTTTCGACTTTTCGGGAAAACAACTTTTCGCATACAAGCCTTCGCTTTTCAACTTTTCGATTTTTCCGGCTTTTTTGGCTTTCGCGTTCCGTTTGGCATTCTCGACTTATCCGCGCCCACAGCCATTCGCAAACACAGATAAGCGTTAAAGGGATCTATAGGGTTCTTTACACGGATCTATAGGGTTTAGGGTTCAGGGTCTACCCAGACCCCCGGGAGGATCCAAAAAGTAGATCCCTTAATGGGGGTTCCTATAAACTACCCTTAGTAGTATAGGGCCCCAAATTAGGGGATCTACTTTCTAGATCCTTCCGGGGGTCTGGGTACTTAGAGGATCATGGGACCTAGAAAGTAGGGTTATAAGACCTTAATTATGGTTTTAAGTCGATATATCTAGAGTTACCTTTCTTGTTTTGGGGCTTAGCGTAGGGTTCAGGATTTAGGATTCTGGGTTTAGGGTAACCGATGTAGCGTTTAGGGTTAGGATGTAGGGTTTAGGAGTTGAGTTTGGGGTTTGTTGTTTCATCATGTCCTCTTACAGTCCCCATGCAATCCTACGATGTTGCAGACCCGCAACCCTGTTCTCTTGTCTTTGGCCCTTACACTATCCTGTGTGCCTTGACATTGCACCTCAGTCCTTGAAAGACTGTCTGGAGCTGGTTAGTAGGGAATGGGGGAATGCATCCCTATAGTAGTCCCTCTAGAATCCCCAATAACAGTCTCCATAATCCCTTCCCTAGCCCTAAACCACTAAGAACATCTAAGTATGCTTAGAAGTACCTGAATCGGCGTTATATGTAACTATAAGTATAGTTACCTTAGTAATCTAAGAACCAGACAGAAGAGCCCCAAAATCTGAAGAGCTGGTGGCCGGTCCGAAGGACTCATGTTTTAGGGTTTAGGGTTTAGGGCCGTGCTGCGGCGCCAAGGTTCTGACATGCACAACTTTGCCGGAAAGCTTCCCATTCTCGGACCATGGGGTTCTTTTAAAGGAATCTGTAAGGGTACCTTTAAGGGGTTCCTGCCTGTAACGGATCTACAAGGCTTCACTGTTTGGGGTTTGGGTTGATGATATAAACCCTGCATTACCCGTAATAAGGAATATACCATAATTCCCATAGTTTAGGCTCCTTGAGGCAATGCAGGATTCCTATCATCAGCTGTGGTACTCGTCGTATGGAAGGCCTTGGTTGGAGACGCACAAGGTGCTATTGGCACCGCGAAGAAAAGAGCGATCTCGACGGACATTACGAGTTGGTCCGTAACCGCCTAGCATGCGTCAATAAACTCGAAAGTTTCATTGAGAACTCGAACCCCGATTCGAGTTCACTCGAAGTGATTCTTTGCAACTGGGGCAACATGGGCCGAGCACCAAGACCCTACTTGGAGGATCAGGGGACTTAGTAACTGGGGTTATAAGCGAAGTAACTATAGTTATATCCACTTATAACCCTGATTAAGATACTTATAACCCTACTTACTAAGTCCCATGATCCTCTGAATACGGCAATCCTAAAAAGGAGCTAAAGCCGAGCGTCCGAAGGAAATCACCGATATCGTCGTCGCTTTCGAGTGACTCTTGGACCCCGTAGAAAACCCGACAGACCCCCTAAACCTTAACCCAACCCTAAATCCCTTTGGACTTCGCGTAAAACCCGACAGACCCCATTCTAAGTAGGGAGGGTTTGGAAGGATGGAGAAGGTTTTCCAATAAGATTGCCATGTTCGACGCAGATAGGAGGGGGGAATATGGGAGTTTCCGAAAATTGGGGGTACCTCATTTACGGGTCCTTATAATAAGGATCCTACCATTTAGGGTACTATATTAGGGCCCCCTATTTTCGGAAAGTCCCATATGGCTTTGGTTTCGGGCTGAGCCCTTAACGCCTCAAGCCTGTAGCTGCGGTTACTGCTGGAAGTCTCCGAGCCCAAATGCCTAAAACCACATGCTTTTTTCAAGCCCTTGCCTACGCCCAAGGAACAAGGCACGCCTCAGGCAGGATGTTGCTGGTCTCCTTCAGCACCGCGCTCGGTCTAGAACAGGGTTAACTCAAACCCCAAACCCTAACCGAGGAAAGCTGAAGGGCAGGAGCAAGGGCAGCCGAAGCCATAAAACCTAAACCCTAAGGCCTTCCATCGTTCTAGGATTTAGGGCTTAGGGCCTTTTGGCGTTTAGGGTTAGGGTTTCGGACTGAGGGTTTCTATTTGAATTTCCGGAGTTTACTGCAAGGAGCCTTCATACTTTGGAAAAAGGGCTGTCATCCAGAATCTGGGCCCCAAATCTTGAAAAAATTGTAGCTGGAACCCAGGACATCCTCCCTATTCCCAAACCCTAAACTTTGTAGGGGCTGTCGGGGTATGGGGCTTGCCTGGAGCCGAAAAGACCTACCGTTTTAAGGTTAGGGAAGCGGCTTGTCCGCACCCTTTAGTAAGGACCCTCGAACAAGGACTCCTCAGTCGATTTGCCTGGTTTTTTCGGTCGGCCTCTAAGGTTTAGGGTTTAGTTGAAACCGCTGTAATCTCCTTACTGCGAGGATCAGGGGACTTAGTAAGTAGGGTTGTAAGTAAAGTAACTAAAGTTGTATCTGTTCTTACCCCTAAATAAGGTACTGATGATAAACTTACTCAGTACCCTGAACCTCCAAGTCCAGAAAGGTAGGGTCGCCTCGGAGGCCGTTGTCGTTGTCATGATTATCATTATGACTATAGGGTTCAGGGTGGTGGGTATTGTTGTTGATTTTGCTGTGTGTATTCTTGTTGTCGTTCCTATGTAGTCCTTTCGTTTTGGGTGCTGTTGTCCATACTAATTACTATCAATCGTCGTATGGCTATCATCCCTACTCTCATGGTTACTACCATAAAATGTCACGGGTTCACCTTGCTCTTTTAAGAACTCGCCACCCTAACAACCCCAAACCTGTAACCCTAAGCCCTAAACCTCAAATATTAAATCGTAAACCCGACACCCGAACCCCAAGACTAGTATGTTCAGTACATCACATCTCTTCGGTGCTCGAGCGAAGCCTCATTTTAAGGCTTCCGGGGCTTCGGTTTAGAGTTTATTCTTTGTTTTTACTTTTATACTATTATTGTTATTATTATTTTTTTGTGGCGTAGGGTTTCGGGGTTTTTAGGGTTTAGGCGTTTTAGGGTTTTGGGTTTGTAAGGTTCATGGTTTAGGGTGTTTAAGGTTCAGGGTTTAGGGTTAGGGTTTCGGGGTTAGTGTTTTTTTTTAGCATCTCCCAGAGGGTCCATATACAGTACCATTGGGGAACTCGGTCCTAGTTCCATAGTAGTGGTGTATATGGACCCTCGGGGCCACAGCCTGAGGGCTATACATGGATCTGCAGAGGATTTCGGGCTACTTCACAGAGAATCCAATATCCCTTAGTTAAGGAAGATACCCTACATCATACTAGGGATCCTACTATAATTTCCGGTATATTCCTTAATTAAGGGATCTTGGAGTCTCTGGGTTTTGCATGTAGTTAGAGGTGGCCTGAAACCTTCTTGGGCTTAGGGTCTTTAGGGTTTTGGGGCCCGAGCCCTAAACCCTTTACGGTTTAGGGTTCAGGGTTTAGGGTTTAACCTTCAGGAGTTAGGGCTGGGGGCTTTTGGTGTTTGGTCTTTCAGCGTGTTGGGGTTCAAGTTTCAGGGTCCCCTAGGGTACCTCTTTACTGAACGCTCCGAGTAACCCTTAGAGAACCGTAAAGCAATTTGCACATGCCAGCGTCTTGACTGCCTCCTGCCATCGGGGCATGCTTTCGGGGGAGGCGACGGTGCACAAAGCTGCCCTGAGCCCGCAGCCAAAGAGAATGCCCGAGCATGAACGAGCGGAAGAACTAAATCAAAAGCTCAAGGCTGAAAAAGCAAAGCAGGAAATGAACAAGGAAGTGAGCGGCAAGGATAGGCCAAGCGAACCGGCCAGCACTTCGTCCGGCCCTCCGCTGCGGCTGGGTCAGGATTCCCCCACCTCGTATATACGATGCTTTGCATCCTGCCAGCGCTGTCTTTCGAGGAAGGGAACGCTTTGCTGCGCGAGGCCATGGTATGCTAGGCGCCGGAACGCATCCTTCGCCTCCTCCGGAGCAGGGCTAGATGCTTCGCCGGGCACTGCGGATCGGTGCGTTATTGGCTTGGCTCTCCAGACCCCCCCGAAAGGATCCAGAAAGTAGATCCCCTAATTTGGGGCCCTATACTACTAAGGGTACTTTATAGGAAGCCCCCATTAAGGGATCTACTTTTTGGATCCTCCTGGGGGTCTGGCTCTCTATTATCGCCAATGGGATGTGGGAGTTTCCGAAAATGGGGGACCCTGATACAGTACCCTCAATAACAGGATCCTTATTCTAAGGACCCAAAATAAGGTACCCCTAATTTTCGGAAACCCCCATGTGGTCTGCATGATAGTTGGGGCCTTGGCGATGAGACACTGCAAGGGTGGACCTACTTAGAGGATCATGGGACTTAGTAAGTAGGGTCATAAGTACCTTAATTGGGGTTATAAGTAGATATAACTATAGTTACCTTACTTGTAACCCTACTTACTACGCCCCCGGATCCTTTAAGCAATCCTCACGGCGGCCGGGTGGACCTGGGGCGTAGGGTCTAGGATGTAGGATTAAAGGGTTGAGAGGTTTAGAGTTTGGGGGTTTAGGGCTGTAGGCCCTAGGGTTCAGGTGTTGAGGGTTTAGGGTTTCGGGTCCGTCTCAGGTCGTGCCGTACCCTGCAACCACAGACGAATTCTTTCTCCGGCGGGGGCCGCACCGCAGCGAGCTCACAGCAAGCTGTCAATCTTGAGGGGTTCCTGCCAGTCTGTCTCCAGAACGGTCTTCAAACTGTACCAAGGGTCCTGCATAAAGGGCCAGAACAAACTAAGGATGCCGAACCTGGGTTCGGTTTAAATCTTCAAGGCCCCACGAAAAGTCGACAACAAGTTCGGAGGAAGCCCTAAACCCTAAACCCTGAATCTTTTAAAGTGTTTGTATACTGATGCGGCGAAGAGCGGGGGGTAATGAAGGGGCCTCGATAATGACTAATGGCTTTCCTCAGGGCTCCCCTAAGCTACTCCGCCACCCTAGACCTTAAAACCGAAACCCCTTGGCACCCTAAGACAAACCTTAAACCCAATGCCCTGAAGCTCTAAAGGCTAGACCCTTATGAAACCCTAAAGCCTTAAAACCTCCACACCAACCCTCGGGTTCGGTCTTCACCCGTAGGGTCCGGGGTTTAGGGACCCTGATCGTACAGGTTTCTATAGGATTCCTGAGAGTTAAGCCGGACTAAAGAAGCCCTTCTTTGAAGGCTGCTATATCATTTTCCCGTCTATGTTCCTTGTAAAAAAAGGAAGCGGGTTTATAGCTCACCGGTTTGCATGACGCCAGCTCCACGACCCCGGAGGGCTTAGCAGCCCTAAACCCTAAACCCTAAATGCTAAACCGTCGGAGTGAGGGTCAGGGGTTTCGGGTTTGGGATGGACTCAAAGGCTCCAGCCTCCCTGAACTAAGCTCCTCTCCTGGTTTCTTGTTAAGGAATTTTTCTTTAAGTTACCTTTTTTCAGGATCTACAGTAAGTACTATGGTTTCCTTATTATGGTGACTTACTTTAAGGTCCTTAACTAGAACCCAGCTTCATGATGAAGACTCCCTTGGCTGCAATGAAAGGAGTTTTTGGGGCTGGTGGGGTCTTGAGTATCTGGAGAGGATTATAGGATCCTTAAGGGAGGGTGGTTCAAGGGGGGAGGGTATAAGGAATCCTTAGGGGACTGTTAGGGAACCTTAGGGAGTACTAGGGAGAATTAGGCATCACTAGGCTATATACCCCCCCTTGGACCCCCCTCCCTTAAGGATACTACAAGAGGATCGGGGCCTTAGGCTGTTTGATTTAGGTTTGGGGTGTAGGGTTTGGGGTTTAGTTTTTCATTGTCGGCTTAGGCTTGGGGATTACTGCTTTCATAGGGAACTCGAAGGATGGTTTCTGGCCTACCTTCTAAAGGGAACTCCAGAAAGTTGGAATATGGATTAATGGTAGGATCCCCTATAATTTACCTTAAAGGGGTTACGATAATGATATTTCAACTTTCTGGCTTCTACTGTAAGGGGGCTGGAGAATATGTTGAACGAAGAGCTCTAAGCACCCGTCCAGTGGACGGCAAAGACTATTTGAGGGATCGTGGTCATTCTATGGATCCACAGTTCCGCTTAGTTCGTCTCGCTAGCCAGCTAGCCAGCTGTACGTCCAGCCGTCTAGCTATTGCTGTGGAGTCATCGTCGTTCGTCGCCGTCGTTGTCGTCGTTCTTCGTCTTCTCATCCTGTCGTGATTGACGTCTCTTTTGCGATTCCTCTGCCCCCTAAGCCCTTAACCCTAATTCCCAAACCCTAAACCTTAAAGCCCGAAACTCCTAAACCCTAAACCCTAAAGCCTTAAACACCCTAAAGCCCTAAATCCTAAACCGCAGCTCGAGCTGTTCTGTGGCTCATGAAGTCGAGGCAACCCGTCCTGAGACGTAGCATGAGGGAGACACGGCCCAGTAGAAGGATGTGAACTTCAATCTCCGGCGCTTGGAAGTACTTGACACCAAACAAAACCCAATATTCTACACGCTAAACCCAAATCTCGACCGGAACCCCATTAGACCCTAAACCTAGGACTTCGAGTTCCAGGGCTTAGGGTGTAGTTTCAGCAGTCCGCGAGACCTTAAAGTGGCAGATCCCATCCAGAAGACTTCACGCAGCAAACTCTTGACTTCAGACCGTGAGACCCTCAGCCAACGCAGAAAGTGCCGAGAAGCTTAGGTCGAAACTCCGAAGCCGGAAATCTCATATGGGAGTTTCCGCAAATTAGGGGTGCCTTTTGTTGGGGGTCCTTATTAATTATTGGAATCCAGTTATGTAGCGTGCTATATTTGAGTTCCCTGTTTTCGGAAGCTCTCAAATGGCCATGCAGCACGGAAGCAGCCCCTGCTACCAGCGCTTGGCCCTTCGCTCGGCGCCCCCGCGCCCATCCTTGCCGCCTCGCGCACGCGGGCCACCGATCGGCGATGGGCTTTCGGAGAGGAGGCAGGGGTTCTGCGGTTTGAGGTTAGGGTATACGGTCTTGGGTTTTGGGGTGGGCTTTGGGGTTGCGGTGCCATTTCCCCAACAGGGTCATTAATTAGGGGCCTTGCTGAACGGGTCGCGGTTAGGGCTACTGTAATGTGTTTGTTTGCAAAAGGATTGCTCACTAGAAGGAAGGTTACCAATTGCCAAGAGCAGGCGGAAGGTTGAAAGCATTGGTTTTCTGTAAACCTTACCAATACATGATTTGTACCTTAGCCCCGCCCTGCGAACCTCAAACCCTGACTGAACCCTTAAACTCCAAGCACTTAAAGCGTAAGCCTCAAACCCGAAACGCTCAGATCCTAAACCTTAACCCTTGAACTCGAGAAAGGAGGCCTGTTTAGAACCTACTAGAACCCTGGTATAGAGCCTTTGAAAACCCCCACGCACCCCACACCCCTAAACCCAAAACCCTTAACCCTAAACTTCAAAACCCTAAACCCCTAAACCTAAACCCCAAACCCTAAAAGCTCTAAACCCTTAAACCCCCAAAAACCTGAACCCCTAAACCCTAAAAGCCCTAAGCCCCTAGACGCCCCGAAGAGCCCCAAGAGGCTGAGCGCTGAGCTTCCGCTGGTTCTCGGCGCTGGCCTGGGCTTGCAGGTCGGCAGACACAGCGACTCCTTTAGGGTTCCTTTAAGGGATCTATAAGGGTACTACAAGAGTTTAGGGTTTAGGGTCTACTTAGGTCAAAAGTCAGGTAACTATAGTTATATTTATTTATAACTATCTAACGCCAATTAACCCAGAGATTCCTCGTTTCCTTTTCAACTGAAGGGATGTGCCTTATCCCTAAACCCAAAACGCTAAATTAAAGGGCCGGGCCCTTCCCGGGAGTGTGGACTTTACAGCCCCATGAAAGGCTTTTAGGGCTGAATCGTAGTCCCCAAACCCTAAACCAGTTTCTGCATACCACCGCTTGGCTTGAGGGTGCACGGTGCTCAAGCTCCCTCGACTTCGTTGTCCCAAGAGCTCAATCAAGTTTGTGATGACTTCTCTGCCATGGAAACCCTTCACCCAAAGCTCTGAAAGTTAGGCCCCAAACACCAAGCCGTAACCTTGAGGCTCCAGATCCTGAGCCCTACACTGAGTGTGGGGTCGGAGGAATCCCAAAGTTGAAAAACTACTCTCGGACACATATGCCCCACAAGCCTAAAGCTGAACCGCGCGCCAAACAATAAATCAGCAACAAGAACCCTAAACCCTAAACCCCGAATCCTACACTCTGAACCCTGAGCCCTAAGCCCTATGCCCTAAACAGACCTATTGTCGATCCCGTTTTAAAGCCGGGCCGGAGACAGCCTTTGCAGGTGGCGCGAAAAGGCCGCGATGGTCGGGGAGATGGCGCACTACCGGCCAAGGAGGCGTAAAACGAAAGCCCCTAAGCCCTCTACCCTAAACCCTACTACACATTAAAAACAACCCTGAATCCCTCCACTAAACCCAATCTCCAAATTGCAAAGTCTACCTGCCTAAGCCCACAAACCATAGATGCTGCAAACCCCTACGAGCACCCAACAACAGCCCTATACAGCCCATCCGCCTCCTACACCTAAAACACCCCGCATAGCAGCGTAACCTACTAGTAACCCTTATTGGCTCATTTTAAGTAACCGGTATAGTAAGGCTAGTTGTTGCACCTACAGTATCTCTTTTTGTAATCCTACTTGTAAAAGCCAAGGAGGTCTTAAACCCTCAACCCAAAACCGCTAAACCCTCAACCCTAAACCCCTGGACCCTTAACCGTAAACCCTAAGCCCTAGACTACTTTGAACCCGAAGCCCTAAGCCCTAAACCCTAAACCCCTAGACCCTAAACTCTAAATCCCAAGCCCTATAGACCCTAAGCCCAAAACCCTACCTACAGAGGCCTAGGATGCCCAGTGGTACCCTTATTCCCTTTTTGTAGTCCTAGGTTCCTTATAAAGTTACCCAATACCAAAAAGAGAGGCCTTTTTATTCTTAGGTTACTGGGTATCCTAGGCCCTATACACCAAGCCCTAAGCCTTAAGCCCCAAAACCCCTAGACCCCAAAAAAAACACCAAAGCCCCAAAACCCCTAGACCCCCCAAAAAAAC